TATATATTTTTACATGTATTTATTCATTTATTAGCGTATTTCTACAGTTATATGTATCAATGCATACATTTCCACATTAATTGAGTTATTAATTTATTTTACATTTACACATCTATTTATTTCTGTGTTCAGGTCGTAAGAGGAAAAGTATATATGTAAATTTGCTTCTGTCTGTTTTTCAAAATTAACCAATCCTACTTCAGTATTGTTAGGACGGCCCACTTAATTTACATATTTACTTTTCCTTGTACAACATGGACACAGAAATACATAAATAAATATATGAATATATTTATATATTTATTGATGCATTTATTTAATTATTTATTTATACATTATTGTATGCATTTCTCCCAACATTTATTTACTTATTCATTTATTTATTTATACTTTAGTCATTTTTTGTCCCTCATAAAGTCCTTCCACAGCATATGAATTTAAAACCATATTTTTCGCCATTTTAATTAATTCAGATTTATTTGTTAGAATGATTTTCCTTACGTCATTTACGTAAGTTTACTTTGGGATCGTTAAGAGTCTCACAGCCAAATACAGATTGAACACGTTCATTCACAACATATTTAGCTTTCTATGCAATGACTTGTACTTGTTGGTTTCGTTTGTTTGGTAAACTTTTCAAAACTCACCTCCTCTATCAAAGCCTTGTTTTCAGCGTTTGGCTCGGGGATAGCAAAGCGCTCATCCCAGCCCATCTCCGATAGAACTGTACTAAGAGCGCTCGCCATGTTCCTTCAGTTTCACAAGGTCACTAAATACAAAAAGAAAAACCTAACAATAATAAAATAAAGTAAAAAAATGTCGCTTTCTTATCGTTAACTGTCGACGCTTTCTCCTCTTCCTCCACTTGTCTGTCCAGTGGCCGTTTCAGCTGGTGTCTGTTGTCACTCAGGCGCCCCTAGCAACCGCATGTGCCGTAGAGTAGTGTCGTGAGATAACCACAGGGAGGCAGCGCATTCAGTGGATAGTTCACCTTGTGAATATGAATACTTACAAGCAATAACTCAAGTCAATGAATTATTACTTTCTCGAGAATTCATTTGACGTATACGAGACTTCCATTATTTATCTGACTTTTGTTAATAATTCTGAAAACGTGTATGCCCAGTTGACAATATACTGCCTTCTTTGATTTATCTTAAACAGGTATTTATTTGGTGTGTGTGTTCAAAGAATATACTGAAATCCAATAGTTTTTGTTTTTCACTCATTTGTTTCTGCTTGCTTGACTTCTTTATTATATCAGTTTGGCATGTCCCTGCAATAAATGTAGTTATAATTGATTACTTTCTCTTTTCCATTTGTACCTATGTTTAATGCTTGTTGTCTTCTAACATTGAAATGTGCTTTATAGATTAATGTACATATCAGTCTGCATAATATATTGGATTTGACCTCTGTCACAACAGAGCAAAATCGGTTTCATTATAGGGTCAATTGACAACTCAAATTGTGATGGTACTTGACCAAATTCAATTCAAACTATGCTTTAGATGTATAGAAGAACCTAGCCTGATTTCAGACAGAATTGTAAAGTCGTTACACTACATTTCTATCGACTGAATGAATTTGGTGGATTCAAAGTTCTAAACCTGTGATTTAAAGGACCCATTGAGGGCCACATCAGTCACAGAAGCCTGGCAGCTTTAAAGACACCAAATTGAAACATTTATTTTATCTTAATACATTTGTGTTTTAACAAAACAGCAATATTCTTAAAAAATTACAATCAATTTTTTTATACTGACTTGTCGCACAAATGTATCATAAAACAAAAACAAAATCAGTTAAGCACACAAGTATTAAATTCAATATTAAAAGAACAGAATCCCCTTGCGACCCCTCGTGTTTAGATTACAATTCAGAAGTGTGTCTATCTACCTGCTTCTGAGTGGAGCCCAACCACATTAAAGAACCATGTGGACCAAGATGGTGACTCCTCTCTATTTGGCTTGAGCGCACACAAAAAGCCCAATACTTTAGATAAAAGTTCCAAACCACCACAAGTTGACCAACAAAGAGATATGCCTTTTTTATATATGTAAATACACACAAACATATATAAAGTCTCTGCTGTGTAAAATATTTCAGTCCTGAGGGTTGAAAAGGCAACATAGTTCTCAGCTCAGTGCGGTCCCCTTGTCCTCCTGTCAAAACGCTCCCTGTTATGTAGAAACTTCACATGGATGTTCCTTGAACGAGAGCCGCCATTAAACTGCCGTGCTCTTTGTCCCGATGTGTGGCCGTGCAAACTCCACAAAGTCATCAATAAGCACAGGCCATGCTCCTGTTGAAAAACACAAACCCAAAAAAAACATCTGATAAAACTGAACATGAGACTTCAACGTGGGTAAGAACATGATTATGGACGACTGATTTTGCAAACTGTAAAATAATGCCATGACTTCACAAAGCTTACACTAACATTGTGTGAAACAATCACTCAGATGGTTAAATGGGTTCCCTTCATGCTTAGAGTAAAAGTTGCACCAACCTTCCTCATCATAATTCGACATGTCATCTGTGATCATTGTGCTGAAGTCTAGTAAGAGGTTCCAAGTGTCCTTAGGAATGGATCTTTTGTGATGCTCCTGTCACAGATGTTCATTAAACAGAATGTGAACCAATAATATTTGCATTTTTTTAAGAGTAATCCTGAGTGAGATTATCAACTTACAACTAAAAATCTGTTCCACAAATCCAGGAACTTGAATCTTCCAGCCAGTACTAAATTCCAATATGCAATAGCCATTTCTAAATCTGTAAAAAAAAGAAAAGACAGTCATGGGTTGACATTTGTACAACACACAAAGAATTGAACCCTTAATATGATGAGTGTCTAAAGATTCTTACCCAAACCTTTCTGGCCAGGATTCTTTGCAAAATTAAATGTAAACTGGTAAAAGTCCTTAAATTTCCCTTGGTCCTTTAACTCTTGTTCCATCTTTGGCAGTTGAGCTTTTAGCTTGTCTATGCTGTCACAGCTGGGGAACAAAAAAGTACAAGTATATTTTTTTTAAACCAACATTTAATCAACATGTTTGTTGTAAAACTATGCAATGAATGGGACAAATGTGTATCAACTGAGACTATGTAACTTAGTAGACCAGGAAGATAGTTACGTTTTAAAATCTTTGATATCCTAAATTATGATGTCTTAAAAGGCTTAATTGCTGCTCTATTAACATAAGTCACATCAATCAACAAAGCATCCTAATAGACGGATAAAGTAAACATTGTTATATCAATTAAATACATGTAAAGTTTTCCAAAAAACTTTTGGCATGTGTTTACAGCAATCTTTGTATGGCTCTGATCGACAAGCCTGCCTTAAATCATATTTGAATTATAGCCACCAACATGTAACAGCAGTCCTGTGAGTTTATGTTATCATCTCTTTCAACAGAACGGAGCTTTTTTTCTGTTCTGTTTCAGGATTGTTTGTGGCATCTGAAAAAGCATCACACTCACCCCTGTTCTGCCATGCCATCCATGAACTCTTGTTTTGAAAACTCGCACTGCGTTGCTGCCCTGAACTTCCAGGCTATGAGGAGGACACTTATACTGGCCGGGTCCAGACTCAGGTCATCACAGAACAACTGGATTCCGTCAATGCCAATCTTGTTGTCATCGTGAGGATCTAAGCATTGGAGTGCGAGAGGCATAATTTATTAAAAAAGTCATAGCCAAATGATCATTACAAGTTATTAAAAGTCAAGACTTTTAAGTTCACTGTAGTTACATTGTCTGACGTATTCCTCTATTACAGTATTGGAGTGGTGCTTAACTCTTATACATGAAGGATGCTTCTCATACCTCTGTATCTGTTGTACAGCTGCTCGAGTTTCTTCTTGTCTAAGGCCCCCTTTAGATTTGAAACATAGAGCTCTGGGTTTTGGAAAAACTTGTCGGTGGCAACATCTAGTTTCCAATCATTTTGTGAAAGACAAGTCAGTGCAGTTTTCTCATTGGATTGAGTGAAAATCATGAACTGACGAACTTTATCCTTCTGAGAGGACTTCAGCTTGTTCTGTACAAAGACACAGAAACAGAACAAAAGTTGATCAGACAATAAACACACTGATGTAAAGCACAGCAATAACAAATAAAACATTTCTGTGATGCTTTTTGTATAATTATGAGTTGCCATGAAACAGGATCAACATCAGCCAGTACCACTGTGGGACTCTTAACAAACTTTACATGATAACAGCGAAAGGTCTGCTTATTGATCATGTAGAATAAATCATGGTAAAGCACATAGTTGTAAAAGCAACGAGAAAAACTAGCAAAAAAAAACATGTTATCCTGAAAGAAGTGACCTGCTGCAATGAGCTGTCAGACAGTTAGCTAGTATTTTCACCTTGTATTTAACATCAACCAAGTATTCAAATCTGGTCAATAACCAAACACAGTTTACACTACACTGGTTTGTACAGCTAATTGTGTTGGTTATCTTGCTAACTGGGCGAGCTGGCTAGTCTAAACCGTGAGCTAGTTAGCTAATGCTATCGTCGAGGGCTACGTTTGTTTTCATTATATAAGGGCAATACTAGATAATTAGCGCGGTTCTCTAGCTATATTGAATATGCCAACATAATAGTTTTTTGCGAGTTCACTGTTTTTGTTTGCATCAAGGCGCATTATAAAAAAAGACTAATATCTTACCATGTTTGTCTTTGCCTGACTCTCTTTCCTCCCATCCAGCAGGCTAATAGCGTCAAGTCTTTGCATGACAAGTCAAACTCGTTTCCGCTTAAAGAATCGCTATTGAAAATAAAAGCACATAATTAGTTTCTTACGGATTATTACATATTTTCAAACTTCAACATTGTTCAATTTAATTTTCATTGAATTCAACTTAATACCAAGTTATCGTAACTTGAATACATCATTTCATCCATACTGAGACATTTCATTCTAATTTGAAAATATATAGTTTACGTTTTATTTTGAAATAACTTGTCGGATGTGATACGAGATATCACGAAAAGATCTAATTCCTGCACGACTGAAGTAAAAGCCGTCGCTCTGGATGTTGAGAAGTGCACTTAAAAGATTTCTGGAGAAATGGAAATCGTACAGACACAGGTTTGTGCCTTGGATTGTGCTGAACTTGTCAAAAAATGAGAAAACTTTGCGGCAGGTGACGGAGAGCTCAAAGGACAAACTGGTCCCGGATGAGGAGGTTTCACAGACTCTACTGAAGCTCTTCTGGATCCTGCTCAGGAGTCAGTGGGCTAATAATGAACAGCTCCGAGCTGCTCAAACTCAATTTCTCAAACAGGTAAAAAGTGAAGAAGACGAAAGTGGGGGTCTTCCAATGTCTGGAGACGATGCCATGTTACAGTGTGTGGGGTTCTGCATTGACCGGAAGCAAAGCACTTTGCCCTCTGCAGGAACTGGGGTGTTTGTTACCAAAGGATTTGTGTCCAAAGGAGCCACAGTTGCCTTGTACCCTGGCACTGTCTATCAATCCTATGAGCCAATTCTACTCCAGTCCATCAGGAACCCATTTGTATTCAGGTGTATTGATGGTGTTTTGATTGATGGGAATGATAAAGGCATCTCCAGAGTGGTCTTCAAGTCGTGCAGTGGCAGGGACAGAGTGGGGCCTTTCATTATGAGTGACACCAGCTGGTTGACTGCTAGACCACAGAACCCACTTGCTGTTGGTCAGTACGTCAACAACTGCTCCAACAAGTGTCCTGCTAACGTGTGCTACCAGGAGTATGATGTGCCAGACACATTTCCCATCGAGCTACGCCAGTATCTTCCAAATGTCAACTACAGTCAGGACTCACAGAGGCCTTTACGCTGTGTTGTCCTGGTGTCTCTCAGAGACATAACAGCAGGGGAAGAACTCTTTTCCAACTACTACACTGTTGTGCATTAGAGTAAAATACACTCACTGCTTTGAAGTTAACTGGAGAATATGCAAATGTTTTAAATTAAAACAATGTTATTAAAAAAAAGTCACAAACAAATCTTTGTGTACTCTCAGTTGCCTTATATGTCTTGTATGATTCATTGTTAATTGAAAGAGACAAACAACTCTTATTTGACGTTGAGATCTGGTGTTCAACTGACCAGATGACCTGCATTTACTATGCCTGAGCACAGGCATGGAAGGGGTATAAAGGTTTCTACACAAGTAAATACTGCACTATCAAAGTACCCCATTACGAGTAAAGGTCCGTCATTCCGGTCTTACATATTTTAAAGTAAAAAAGTGTTAGGCCCATCAAATATGTGTATTTGAATTTCCAAAATCAAGAAAACACATACGATACGATACACTTTATTTTCCCTTTGGGGAAATTTGTCTTAGACTCAAAGTGCTGCCAGATATTCAGCTGCTTCCACTTGAGTCAATAAATAAAAACAAGAGAAAAACACATCCAAACATTAACAGAAAGGCACATACCATTTCAAAACAACACAACATATATTGTACATTACCCACATGACAGAAGATCTGCAAAAAACAGCATGAGAGATAAAATAACAAAGGTAAGAAAATATAAAAGCATGTAGGAAAACCATGACCCACAACCCCTACAGCCTTCCGAAACATTATTCCGAATTCTGATTGACAAAAGAGTTTTAAAGCGGTTCAGTTTACAAATTGCAGATTCATCTGCTTTAGAGTTCAAAGTTGTCATCAAATAGGCTACCAGGTATAATAACTCTTATTGAATTGTATTAATGGCGCTAAGGCTGCTGGGTAATTTATGGCGCTCACCTGTTGTGGATGAAAATTTTAACCTGCAGGTAGTTAGTAACGCTGGGATCATATATTGTTACTGCTCAACTTATTGAGCTTTTATAAAAGTTTCGCTTGAGTATACAATACATGAGTCAATGATTTTGCCTACTTTTCCCCACTTAAACTAATCTAGACTATAGGAAGACATATAGCGTGAGGAACATAAAGCCTAATGTATTTTCAAGGGGGATCGGGATCAAACTCTTAAACTACATTTAGGGGAGGACAAAGATTACCAATCTGTAGGTTCTCAAACTAAGTTTTTTTAAACAAAGGTTTTACATTCAAAATAGGAAAATTAATTAGTGAAAGAACACTATCACCGAATTAGCACAATAACATTTTAAGACCACTATTTTCAGTTTAGCATTACTTCGCAATAAATAGTTTAATATGGCGGTGGTCGTCTTTATTAAACTTATTTTTTCGGCTTCACGCGAACACTCTCTGAAAAATGTTGCGCAACCTTGTCTGAAGCTTTCTGACCTATAAGAGCCACCATAGCAGCCTAAGAACAAATTATTACTGCAATATCCTTACGCTGATAAATGTAGTCCGCGATAATATTTCATGTTTTGATCTAAATTGATGTACCTCTGCATCTTGCAGACCTATACAACAGTTAAATGAAGTCCACCCATTAATTATGTAAAATTTGACAATGACGTCGATCAAACTGAGTGTTTAGTTAGTCTACAGTGGAAGTAATCCGGCCGCATAAAGGCAAGTGGCGTCGCCATCAGCGATCTTTCCACTCGCATGCTGAAGTTGGGAACGGATGATGTCTAGCGATTCTGCTGATTACAACAGGTAAACCCACAGTATAGTCTTAGTTTCTTTAGTACCTCTGTCTAATGTTTAATGTGTTTAGGATGACCACGCTGGTAAACACTTAGCGTAATGATGAAATTAAAATATGTATTTATTGTAGCTTCAATTAATGTGGTTGCTAACTGTTAGCTTTTCTATCGACACCCTCCACTTACACCGCAGCTTTAAATTCCCTTTACATGCCACATGGTTAAAAGTGTCTATCTTTTTTTATATATGTATATATACGTGTATATATATATTATAACGTATTCGTTGGGGTGTATTTGTTATATAATTTTCTCCCGGAAACTGGAGTTAAGCCGTGTGGCTGCAGCTCGGCCTGGTTCTCAGCAGACTGAAGCACGCTGGCAGCAGCACAGGCCCGACTGACCGACGTGTTGACTTACGTTAGCAGAGCTCCATGTTAAAACTCACTGTAGGTGTACTGACGTGACTTTGTCCCTTTCTTTTGTTTTAAGTTAACTCTTGTATGAATGGACATACGAGCCACTGGCACACCCATCGTGGTTACATAATCAGAGGGTTAGTCAGAATATGTGGTATTTAACTGTGTAATAAAACTCTCTGGGCGTGACCCGGTCCACTGAACACCAGCTCACTTCTCAACCTGCACGTCTTGTTCTTTTGCAATCTCTTGAAGTTAGCTGAAATGAGCGATCTTTGCATTAGCAGCTACATGACTCAACACGTGGTAGGTGTTGCTGATCATTGCAGCGGTGTATTTTACGGTTCACCCCAAATGCATCATTCATGATTATTTTTATTTAAATGATGGTCAAGAGGACTAAAAGTGAAATTTGAACATTGCCACTTTTCTTTAATAGCTCAAAAGATGGAGGCCATGAGGGGCCAGATGGAATGGAGCCTGATGGAGTCATCGAGGTAAGTAAATGACCCATACTTAAGTTGTTTTCACAGCTGACTTTCTGTGCACACTTTCACTCACTAGCCCTTGTTCCTCCCTTTTTTTTATTTTTTTTATTTTAGAGCAACTGGAGTGATATTACAGACAATTTTGACGATATGGTCCTGAAGGAGACCCTTCTCCGGGGAATATATGCATATGGTTTTGAAAAGCCATCTGCCATTCAACAACGGGCTATCATTCCTTGCATCAAAGGTACAGAAAATGAAATTGGTATACACGTTTCAATTGTTTTAGTTTGAGTGAAGTGATGCTTTACCATCTTTCGGGACTTACTCAATAATGGGGATATTTATTTTTTCAACTGATCACTCAAAACTCTTAACTTGACACATCATCAGCTCAGCACATTGCCTTTGATGATTGTGTCACAAGTTTTGTCTTTAAACACCTTTTTTTTTTCCTTAATTTAGTAGTTTAAAAATGTTACTATAATATTTTCCCCTTGCTGTTAGGCTATGATGTCATTGCCCAGGCCCAGTCAGGCACTGGCAAGACGGCCACGTTTGCCATCTCTATCTTGCAGCAGCTGGACATTGAGCATAAGGAGACCCAGGCTCTGGTGTTGGCTCCTACCAGAGAGCTGGCTCAGCAGGTATGCTGTTCTGAGGTCACAATAACCTCAACAGTGTCTAAGACCTAAACAGCACATTGAGGACACTGATTCAAGTATGAAGGTACCCTTCTTTTTAACTGTCAAAATTCTGACAATGTGAACAAAAGCATCCTCTTTCGACTGGTGTAGTCTGTGTCCATGGCTACATTGGTTTAAAAGGTGAACTGACTTCTTTAATTCAGAATTAATGACTTCAATTAACTGTGCTTTTAATTAGGGCTGTCAACATTAACACATTATTTGCAAAGCGATTAAGGTCTGAAATGTCCTTTATTTTTATTTATTGCATTGATTTTGTGGTGTTTTTGTCCCTGTTGATGCAGCATGTTTGTTAACTCGGTGTCTCCCTGGCCATAGTGATGGAAAAGAACCTTTGAATGGCTCATTTAACTTAATACACAAAACAAAAAAGCTCCCAGACATAACCACCTTATGACATCAAACATTTCACTTTTTACTGTTCGCTTTAGCTGATGTCATTTATTTTTTGCTCCATTAAAGTTATTTTTCTGACGTTAATGTGACCTTCGATGTACATAAAGTTCTGTTTCTTTCTTTCAAGCGTAAAGGTTAGTTTCTGAACAGGAAGTACAATACTATTAGCTGAAGACGGTATAAATGATAAATATAGTTTTAACTGCGTGTTAAAGAGATTACCTCTTGGAAATGTGCAATCAATCGTGACTAAAAAATGTCTTGTTGACAGCCCTACTTAAAATATTTTTAAGTTCTGTGGAAAAACTGGGTGAAATGATGGCATACCATCTTTCGGGACTGACATAAATTGATGAGTTCCTTTAATATTTTACTGATCACTCTAAACAGTTTTTCTTAATTTTTCATCTTTAAAGTCTCAGGCTCTCAACACTTTCCTGAACTACTGTTGTTTTTTTGTCTCCTGTCTTCCTTCATTAGATCCAAAAAGTCATTCTGGCTCTGGGTGACTACATGGGGTCAGCCTGTCATGCCTGCATCGGGGGAACCAGCCTTCGTACAGAAATACAGAAGCTGGTTGCTGAGGCTCCTCACATAGTGGTGGGCACACCAGGACGTGTGTATGACATGCTCAGCAGAGGACATCTGTGTAAGTATTACAGTACGGGTTAAACTGTAGGAACGATAGCAATCCTGACTCATTTCATTTACCGACCTGTTCTCTTTCCATCCCTTATTTCTGTGCAGCTGCTAAATACATCAAGATGTTTGTTCTGGATGAAGCCGACGAGATGTTGAGTCGAGGGTTCAAAGATCAGATCTATGAGATCTTCCAGAAACTGAGCACGAACATTCAAGTAAGTGTGACCTGAAAGGTTGACTGGTGCTATATGGCCCACTTCTGCATTAACAGAATTCTGTTATAATTGTGTGACTCGGATTACATTTGTTTCATGCAATCATGCTAGCAGAGTATACGTGGAAGGAGATGAATTTGCACTGTACTGAAAATGAGATGTGGTCGAACCTCTTTCTTAATGTTCGTTGGCCTCTGTCTCAAGGTTCAGTGCCACACACGTTTAATTTAAAACCTTTTTTTTTTTTTTTTTTTTAAACTTGTTCATTTGTCCTTGAATTTAATGTTTCAATCAAATGTGTCTACAGGTGGTCCTGCTTTCTGCCACCATGCCAGCAGAGGTGTTGGAGGTGACCAAGAAGTTCATGCGAGAACCCATTCGCATCTTGGTGAAGAAAGAAGAGCTTACCCTCGAGGGTATCAAGCAATTCTACATCAATGTGGAGCGAGAGGTGGGTTTTACCTTACCCTCAAACTACGTAACACTGTGATAGGTGAGATCTGAAGAATATGAAATACACTGAAATGTTAAACTCCACTTCTCTTTAAAGCACTCTGCTAAAACTGCAGGAGCCAGACCTCACAGGTTTGGCTCATGTGGCCGTGTAAGCATGGGTACACCAGGGAAGGAGATTAAAGGCACAGTGTCTGAAATGAGGCTTGGAGGGACCGCTTTCTAAATGTCCAGTGTCCTTTGTCTCAAGATGCTGTGTTACATTTAAGCTGCTTTTTAAAAAAATAATTGAATGGTTGATCCTTTTGTGCTTTTATAAGGATTTGTCCAGTTGACACTGTCACTTGGCATAACTTGTTTTTTCTTTTTTTTTTGTCTCAAGGAGTGGAAGCTGGACACCCTGTGTGATCTGTACGAAACACTGACTATCACCCAGGCTGTCATCTTCCTTAACACCAGGAGAAAAGTTGACTGGTTGACTGAGAAGATGCATGCTAGGGACTTCACCGTGTCTGCTCTGGTAACATTTCTCTTTCCTGCTAGCTTGAACAATCATTGTAACTGATAAATACACTTCAATATGAAGGTTGCACATTTTCCTAAATCAAGTCTTCTCTATTCACAGCATGGTGATATGGACCAGAAGGAGCGTGATGTGATTATGAGGGAGTTTCGGTCTGGATCGAGCAGAGTTTTGATCACTACAGACCTCCTGGTTAGTATAGGGGATGGATAGATGCTAATAAACACATTCAATTATTAGCTTCAAAATTGAAACCCAAACTATTGTCAAACCTGCAACAGTCCTAAAATGACCAAGCAGTCAAAAACTTTGGGGAGATTAAGGCTCGTTCTCCACAATGGGTTCTTCTACTGTAGGAATCTGTTACTTTTAAATGGGGCGACAATTAAGTGTGGAGGTTTTTCTTATATGTATATATATTTTTTTCTGTCTTTTGGGTTCCATTAACTTCTTAACCTTTTTTTTTTTCTTTGTCTTTAAGGCTCGGGGCATTGATGTCCAGCAGGTTTCACTGGTCATTAACTATGACCTTCCTACAAATCGAGAGAACTATATTCACAGGTAAACCTCATCACATATTGCACTAATAAGAAGATCTTGGCTGCCTGACAGTCTAATGTGTGCCTCACCCTTCCCCTCTTCAGAATCGGTCGTGGTGGCCGTTTTGGCAGAAAAGGAGTTGCTATCAACTTCGTCACTGAGGAGGACAAGAGGATTCTTCGGGACATCGAGACGTTTTACAATACAACCGTGGAGGAGATGCCTATGAATGTGGCTGACCTGATTTGAGCCCTGAGAGTTGTCTTTGTTTTTTTTTCTTTCTTTTAAACGCAGTGATAGCGATCGTACACTTGCATTGTGCTTATATTATTCGAGGGGGAGAAAAAAAACTTCTAAATGCTAAACCTTGGATCAGAGTTTCGGTTTGTTAAAAGCGAGGTGACTTCTGTGGTGGTCCCTCTTGGACAGTTGTAGATTCTAACCTCCACAGCTGGCTGGTTGGCGCTACAAAGCCATGGGGGCTGTAATCATAAAGGTCCTTATCAGGTATTTCCTTCAATGTTCAATAGCGATGTGTGTATTGGATGTTCTCCACCGTTTAGTAACTTACTTGTGGACTAAAAGGTATAAGTGCTGTATAAAGTCTGCAAATTATGTTATGCTAACATATGTGCAATGTATTGTGGGCCTGCTTAGTAGAGGCACTTTTCATGTTATATTGTGGATGTTTTAATTAACTGTACTTCTCTCTTTTTAATCCCTCTTGCTTTATCTGAGTTTCTCATGGTTGGGCTTTATTTTGCTGATGTGGTTTTAACTTTACCAGATTATATCACTAGTTCCCCTCTCCTTCAATACTTTCAGATTTCCTTCCCAGAGTTGTATGAATGTCTTAATAAACTGAAAGTAAACTTGCTGTTGTGATGTGTGTGTCATTAAAGTCTGTACTTTAATGTTTGTCAAGCAACCTTTGAAATAGACTAAACGTTTCAGACTGGGTGGCACCTACCTGCACGATCACTAGATGTGATAGCACCATCTAGTGGCCAATAAGTGTAAGGTTACGCTGAAACACTGGGTCGGCTTTGGAATCTAATGTCAGGTTTCTAATACACTAACATTTGATATAGCTGGAGGTCATTAATTCAAATGTTTTATAAGATTAAGTCTTTAACTTAACTTCCTGACAATAGAAATAATGTGCTCCCTCATATCTACAGTTAAGATGTTTATGGGGTTTATTTTGTTAATCATGTTGAGTGTCATGTTTATCAGTCAATACATTCCTTAAAATAACAAGCAGTGAAAACACGATCAAATGTTCCCTTCTGATTTTGTTTAAATCAATTTACAAATGAAAATGTTCAACTTTGTTCAGTCAACTGCAGGCACAGCTTAGTATTTATACTAATTGTGAGAAAGCCTGACTAGAGTTAACGAGCCTGCTCAGACACTAACGAGCTCGGACCGTATAAAGCACGTGGCTTACATGCAGCAGAGCAGAGTATAGGAGGAGCAGAGCAGCTGCAGGAGAAGCCTGGACATTTAAGTTATATGTTTGTGCGTTAATGCAGAAAAGAGTAAGTTTGTTCATATTTACTTGATCTAGTTTCATATATGTGCTTACTAAAGTTATTATCTTCATTCTATTCCAGTTAAATTGCATCAAGTTTTTCTTTGATACATTTTTCAAGATTGGTTGTTATTGAAAAAGGGACACCATATATTGTATATGCTATGATGCACATTTGTGTTACCTACATATATATATTTTTTCCTTCTTTCTTTTAGAACCACACACACATACATACACACACGAAGATATGTAGATTGATCCTCATAACTACACGGAACCACGAATGAGACACGAGACACAAGATATGCCAATCTCCTTTGTTCAAAGTGGCCTCTGTAAATCTTTGTGTCTGTCATGGAATAAAACCCTTGAGCTGTGAATCCTCTCTGCTGTCCTGATTCTCTGACTGGAATCATTTTCCATATCTGCCCGACCCAAAACGAAAGAACTTTCCAAAGGTTCAACCTTTATTACACTAATGGACAGTTCATAAAAATGATATAATGTGAATGTTAACATTTGTAATCTGTAATAAAATGAGAATAAGTCTAATCATATAATCATCTAATCATATAAAGTCTGCATCATCTGGTTAAGAAGGCTCATCAACGCCTCTTTTTCCTGAGGACACTGAAGAGACACCACCTGTCTTCAGCTGTACTGATGAACTTCTACTGCTGTGTGATCGAGAGCATCCTGACCAGCAGTGTCTCAGTCTGGTACGGAAACTGCTCTGTCACAGACCGTAAGGCTCTACAGCGGGTGGTAAAAACCGCCCAGCGCATCACAAGGTGTCCACTTCCTGCCATTGAGGATGTCCAAAGAAAACGCTGTCTGCGGCGAGCTCACAGCATCCTTAAAGACTCCTCCCACCCTGCCCACAGACTGTTTACCCTCCTGCCCTCCGGTAGGCGCTTCAGAAGCCTCCGGACCAGAACCAGCAGACTGAGGAACAGCTTTTTCCCCAGAGCTGTTTCTCTACTGAACTCTACCCCCCGAACTCTGAACTCTGTCTCTCTCTCTCTCTCCCTCTCTCTCTCCGCCCCTGCTGACCCCCCCCTTTCCCCTGCATATCACCTCACACCCATCATCCCCCCACCACTCCTCCTGGTCACACACACACATCTCTCATCCACCTGTATTATTGTATTATAGTATGTTCATATTATGTCCATATTCTTTATATTATCTGTAAACTAGTATAGCATGCTCACTGCACCTTAATCTGTATATTATAATCTTAAGAATACACTTATATTTATAGCATTTATTTATATGTATAGCATCCCATTAATCCATCCATATATACCTAATAATTCACTTTTTCTAGTCTACATCTGTAAATTTTGTAATTACTGTACATAGCACAGACTCTTGCACTTTCTGCTTATTTACACTTCTGGTGAGATGCCAAACCTCATTTCGTTACTCTATACTTGTATATGTGTAATGACAATAAAGTTGAATCTCATCTCATCTCAAAATACGAAAACAATATAAGAGATACAAAGTAAATAAGCACTTAATGAGACTGTTAAAAGGTACATGCCTCCACAGGAGTCTAGGATATTTTTCTACACAGCAGATAATGTAATTTTACATTTTTTAGCCAAGTTGAAATAGGGTAATAACTGATTTGATATCTGTCTTAATATTTTGAAATTTGACATGACTCACACAACAGGAACTTTGTTTTTCTGAAGGGGGTAGTTTATTGAATTCAGATTAAAAGAACACAAGTTCTGAAACCTAAAAATGATTCTAGTAAGCCAACAAAGTACATATTTGTCATTTTAGTCTTTGGTCGCTGTATTGTGTGTATGCCATACTGTATTTTATGATGCAGACCTCATATGGTGAGACTTATTCTCATTTTATTACAAATATAATAACCAAAGAGTATAGAAAAACAAAGGTCAACAATAAGTGTATAATACAACCAACAGTATCAGATTTTAAAATGTGCTATGGAGGACTGACTTAAAAGTTTTTCATTCAGTTGGTTTTTGGAAATTATTTACCAGGAAATATGTACATTCTAACCTCGTTTGAAGTGTCGTTTCCTTTTGTTCCAGTTAGAGGTTTCCGTTTTTACTTTGAGGTTTATCCAGGAAACTGGTGTCTTATTTCAGAAGGTTTCACAGTTTTATTCCACGGCACTGTGTCTTCTTGTTCATACTCGTTGCTTTCTTTATAACGCTCTGAGTATTCAAATAAAAACAACAAATCAAAATAACACCTTTCCTCCTAAAAACATTTGAACCCAAAATGACACTGCTGCATACAACCCAAATAAGAATGTATTGTACATTATGTTACTTATGTTGTTTTAGTTGAAATATTGAAAAAGGTTAATTTTCTTTATTTTAAGATAAAACTACGGTGGCCGGTAGGGGTCAAACGCTCAGCAACTGATGAAACGACATACATTTAGAAAAACGTGCAGCATATATAGAAACACTGCACATTCAAAAGCAAATGCAAACTACCACAACAAATTCAAAGGCTGTAACGCGCTGCAAATAGGCAAAACAACTGCATAAGCATCAAACGTGCTGCAAGTACAGAAACAAAACTTAAGTCAAAACACACACAACCAGAAAACAACTGCAAACACAGAAGGGCTGCAAGTTTGAGTAGAGTTCCCCACTAACTATGCAACAATTTGTGTGGTTTATGCAGCATTCTTATCCATTAAATAATCATTAGCTACTCTAGAAAATGGGATGAGGAAGTACTCACTATCTACCCATTGCTTAGTGGTTACTTAGTGGTTAGTTCCCCTTAGTTTCCCACTAACTAAGCAGAATATGTGTACCTTATTGTAAAGTGTTATCCTCAAAGTGTCAAAGTTCTCCTTTAAGTCTCTTACATTTAATGAACTTTTTTGACCCTTACAAGATACATTGTGTCAGCTTTTTCTGGTTGAGCAGACTCTGTTTTGCAGCACATGTAAAGGTTACATCAACATAAAAAAGTTATGGGGTAACGGGGTACCGTGTGCACAGCCTACCTACGTCCTCAGTTTTGGAAGCAAATAACGTGTTTCGCCTGTAGCTTCCTCAGGCGCATGCTGGGCGAACCTGAGGAAGCTACAGGCTAGTCTGTTCACGATATAGTTACAGTAAAGTCATTTTCAGCGTCCACTGATTATTGATTTATTTTTCAGCATACAAAATATGTTCATATTAAGTTGGCTTATTGTCTCTAACAAGATTTCTACATAATGATAGATTCTCCAATGCAAATATTTCAGTTTCTGAAGAGAGGAGTCACGTGGTCTTCATCTGAATGAAGCTGTCTCTTTACAGTAGTGAAATATTGGAGGGAGAAAGAAAAGACTAAAGAAGAGCTTCACTGTCCTGATGGTGCAGTAAGCAGCTGACTCCTCATTAATAATCACTTTAGTCTAAAAATAGACTCACTTGTATATTTCTGGAAATCAGACTCAGCAGCTCATTTAGTGTAAACTTCATTATCCATTTAAATGAACATACCTGCTTAAACACATGTAGGCATCTGGTTTTGTGTTTAAAGCCCTTTGTGTGAATTATTCTTACTCGTGTTGCCTTGGACACAGAGCAGCTGCTTGGGGAACAGCTAATCCAGGCAACACCAAATTTCAGGAAGACATGTGCAAAATAAACATATAGGGCATTCATAGAGAGGTGAAGACTCTATCTGCTCTGCGTCTTTGTCAATGTTCCAGACGTACACAGATTCACCTACTAGTCTTGTGTCATGGAAATGGATTCTGTATAACAATCCACACTTAAATGTCTTCCCCAGTATACGGGCTCACAGTTTGTTCTGTCTCTGTGACCTGAGGTGCCCTGGAAACCCCACCAAGGGGTGCTGTGGTGGTCAAACCCACCCACAGGCCTTAAAACTTAACACAACACAAATTTGTAATATAGGGAATTGTAAGTTGGGTCTATCAATAATAGTGAATGATTACTATGTGTAATTAGCTCTGCATGAGAGAGAAAAGAGAATGTATGTTTACAAAGACACTGAGAAACAGATTGTTGTTTTCATTTTAAGATATGCAGATGTTCTGTACCAACACATGATTAATGTGTATCCTGGCAGAATATGACCTCTCTTTGCTAAATTATGTCGTAAAAAATTATCTTTACAGCTTTATAGCCTAGGTAACACTATTGTAAGTCAAAGTACACGCTGTCTTGTGAACAACAACATGAAAAAGTGAACAGTCAAGTAGAGGTACTTTTCCCACTTATGGTTAAAACAGATGTGCGGGATGGGGATTGTGTAAGGCATGGGACAACGGGATATGAATGTGCAAGTCTTATGTCTGAGGATATGTTGTTATATTATGGTTGGTAAAAGATTGTCATTAAGACCCTGTGATGGAAAGCATGGCATTAATAAAGATATTCCTAAAATAATAAAATGAAAAACGTCTTAATCTTTGAACATTTAGAGTCATTCATGGAGTGCTAGCCAGCCAGTGAAACCCTATAAAAAGCCTTTGAGCAATATGAAACAGATTATACCGAGTTCTGTACAGTTTAAGCGAGCAGACCAGAAATCATCTACCCAAAATGCAAAGAATTCCCTCGCATATTATTTGTGCTTTCACTGAAACGGAGAAAACTCCAAAAAACTCCAAATTACTGAATCTTGGCCGTTATTGAATTAGGCCTACTTACTGATTATTAAATCTCCCTATTCTTTTCTGTATCATTTAAAAGCCTGTTTGGTCATTAAAAATTATGTTTAAGGTTCAGTTTCTCCTCCAGCCTGCATCACAAAGTTACAGAACTGCAAAATGACCTCCTGATTCGTTTATCCGTGAAAGGTTAATGACATCATGACCTTTATAATATGTCTTTAAAGCACTGACACAGAACCAGCCTCAGTTATTACTGTCAGGTTGGTGCCAGATGCCTCTGTGGATCAGACGTACTCTGGACACTGATGACTCTCTGGCCAATGCTGGGAGGTATATTTGGCTCTGCATATTACATGTCAGATGGAAAACGTCTGAATGAAAATCTCAGTGAAAAACATTCCAGTGCACACTCAGGGGCAAAGTTAATCTATAGAGATGTGTTTGTGTGTAGTAGATTGTGTGTGAGCTATCGTAAAACGTTAGCACTTCGACTCTAATGAAGCCTGAGAAACCTTCTCACCTGCTCTGCAATGCAAACTGTGTGTAGGTTTGTGGCCTCTGCACGTGGCTGCAATTTCTACATTGTTTCCTGCCTACACTGAACGTGGTCAGGGTGCAAAAACCAAGCACAAGGTTGTGCTCATCTTTCTGTTCTTCACCACTTCACCTTTGATAAAGATTTTAAAGCGTTTCATTTTATTCCTAATTTACCCCAGCTCCAAATGACAACTTATACTTGAAATATAACTTGATGATGATGCTCGTTTATTAAATCTATGTTTTTCTTTTACATTTTTACCTGTTTTCTTCATTAACCACTATACCTTCCTTGAAAAACATTCAGATAAAGGGACTGTTCAGTTTTGTGAAGTGGGGTTGTATGCGGTACTTATCAATAGTTTACTTAGTACACATATAACAGCCTCTGTTTGAAGAAGCTGGCCGGAGAACCAACACAATCAATGTACTGCTGTGGACGGGCTCACTAGGAACCTATACTTTGGGTATTTTAGAAGAAAAAAAAAAAATCCCCATTTCACTTTCACGTCAAACAGCCCTTTCCTTACGCCCTGTTTGTTTGGAGGCAGGTGAGCGATTTCCCTCCGTTTCCATGTGTTTAGAGCTAAGCTAACTGGCAGGCAGAACAGACAAAAGCAGAAAAAAATGATTGTTGTGCATTGAGATTACAATAAACCTACGCCGCAGCCTAGGTAACACTATTGTGAGCATTTATTCTTGTGCTCTGTTTTTGCCTCACTTGGCAACTAAAACTACTTAAACTCTTTCTCTGCCATTCTAAGAAGGGTCTGTGGCTCTGCTGAAACTTGTGGAATCAACAATCAATGTTGATGACATCTTGGAACCAACTTTCTCTTTTAAGTTGTGTTTTATAGATTCAACAAGTAACATCACATATCAATTGATGAGTTTAAAAGTGCTGGTGAACTGATTTTGTGATATTTGAACAGAGCTGAGGTCGCTGTTTCCCCAGTTAGTCCTAGAGCTAAACTAGGCTAAGCTAAGCATATTCTGGCTGTAGCGCCTTAATCTCAGACAGAGCGGTAGTGTTCTACCGTCCTATCCCTTGCATTAATTCAACTTGCATATTTTCCCCAAATACCACTAATTTTGCAGAAAATGTTATTGATTATCAAATTATATTGGTGGTTGGCTTAGACTTCAATCCACTGGCCAGTTGTTTTGGCTTCTGCGTCTATCAATATGTTTGGCTGCTTCTGAGAACTATTAATTAAATATCTAAAACTACCATTAAAGAAATAAAGTCACTACATTAGTGTTTTTTAATCTCAGTTTGATATTGTTGGTTTAAAGGTCTGGTATAAATAATTTTGAAATGGAAGTAATAAAACAGCAACAACAATTTGCAGTCAGACTGGGGACTAATCTTATTACTGTTATTGATCTTCTTTTAAAACAAACAAAAAATGAAATGAAACACGTTTCACTTTGGATATTTTATTTCTTTAAAAAACAATTTTCACAAATTTTATTACAAACTAAAAAAAAGAATGTTACATAAAAAAAAATACTTATTTTGAAACCATGATTTGTTGCTCACCATGACTTCATCGTCATTTCCAGCACAGGAACTCACACAGGAACTTCCATTACTTCCTTTGAGACATTCTTGCACTTGCATATGCAAACATTTTTAGTTCCGACACATCACTGTTCTATAATGTGTCCTTTTATCTGGAAATGAATCACACATTTTTAGAAACAGACCTTTTTGTTGGCCCTTTAGTTTCATATGCTTTATGAGTTATATATATATTTTAACAACAGGTAACAGAATGTTTAAGAATTAAAAGTTTTGGAAACCCTTTAATGTATTACAGTAGTTGAATCCACAGGAAGAATTTCTGTCATTATGAACTGGCTGAGAAAGACAATTGTTATGTTCATCAATAAAATTCTAATTTGTAAGCATGGTGGGTTTGAGTTTGGATAACATCTTCTTTTAAGAGCCTGCTTTGAACACATTGTGCTGTGAATGCAGTCAGTGTTATCACACCTCCAGGACTTGAGATCTCTGACGTGTTAATGACCACACAAACATGAATCGTCTCTGCCTGTTCAAACACAGAGCACACAAACTTCAGCGTTTTCACATGGGTGTCCAACTGAAAGGACTGAGGTAATATTTGCAGTGATGAGCCTCCTTTCATTTTGCGCTTTGTCACACTCCCACCCTCTGTCACACCCTTGTCACCCTTGTGACAGAGGGTGTGACACACACGACCCTGAACTACAAAAAGGCTGCTTTGCAAGGGTATGTGTTGAAAAAGTAAGGTTTGCAGAGGAGAGAGACTTTCACTGCTGTGCAGTACAGCCTCCCTATGAGTCCAGATGTCCTCTTTTTCACCTGTGGGTCTGTCGCTGCCTTCCACAGGTCAAAGATATCTTCCACATGACCGTGTGAGGTCATCATCTGGTTATAGATGCACAAGTGATACGGCGCTTTGCCCTCACCTGAGAAGTAAACGTGCTCCTGGGGGGACACACCAATGGCATTGGCGCAAATGCCCATGAACACATCATCTATGTAAAGAGAGGCATTCAGGGTCAGCGTGGCTTGGTAGATTCTATCTGCTACATCTCTGGAGACCACATACCCAGCCCCGGCTGTGTAGTCTGGGTATGACATCCACTGGTACATCTCGAAGGACACGTAGTACTTGCTGTCTTTGCTGCGGATTGGCGGAGACGCCCGGTGCACTCGCCCAATCCAGAAGTCTGTGACGCCCCTACTGCTCACATCCTGAAGGTAGCTTACCAGGTTTGGCATGTGCACAAAGATGTCGTCGTCAGCGGTCATGAGAAAGTGGGCATGTGAGCAGTGGCTGTGCATCCAGTGGAACTGCATGATCAGTTTCACAGTCAGGTTGTGGAAGGAGTCGAGAAAGTCTTGTTGGATCAAATCACCATGGAGTCGGTCCTCGTGAATAAGCAGTTCCTGAAAACCGACCCCACTTCTCTTGCTCCACGAGGGCTCCCCCTTCTTGGTCGGAGGTGCTCCTAAGGCGAATACCACCTTGACTGTCACTCCCAGGGCTGTTTGGATGTAGGTCTCATTACCCCATGTGGACCTGATGGCATTTCGCCTCTCAATGTTCTCTGGGGACGTTTTAACAAAGAGGAGTAGGAGGACGTCCTTTCCAACGCACTTGTCTGGGTGGTCCAGCAGGTAGTGGAAGTTGCTGAAGCTCCTGGCCTGCTCCCGTGGGATGGTGAGGCTCTTGTTGATGTAGGTGAAGCGGTTGACCAGATAGCGGTAGGAGTAGGACTTGACATGGCTGACGACATTGCTGTCCAGCTGCTCCCAACAAACCATCAACACCGAGAGCACCAGGCAGGTGGTCATCAACTGCACACATTGGCATCTTCGGATACGCCGGAAATTCATTAACATCCTGGAATTCTGTCACCCGGTGGCGGTGTTCCTTGTCTGGTTGGAGATGGCGATGAAGCGGGAAATTTGTGGTGAGGACGAGCTGAAATGGTTGAGGATAAGGTGGTTTTGAGTATTGTTCCAGTGCCTTGGAGCAGCACTTGGTGGGTCTTCCATCCTAGGCTTTCCACATTCAGCAGGAGGCATAGATTGGGGTCATCGTATCTGCCAGGGAAATGTCCACAATGGCAGAAGAATAACTTGATTGCTTACAGCCGCCCAGCAGATGAGGATTCATCTTTTACCCATGAAGAAGTTTTTTCTGCGGAGCTGGAAAAAAAAGGCGAACATTTACCATTGTGAAAGATTTTGACAAATTGAAACTCATTTACTATCTGCTTCCATTATTTCCAAAAGGAGGAAGTTACATCTCCATTTGCACGATGTCTGATTGACCAATGCCTTTTCAGAAACAAAGTTTGATGTATGCAATGGGTCTCATGACATGTTTTGCAACAGAGTTCAAAACAGCAGCCCCACAAAAACTTTTAAAATGAGACTGTTTTCAGGTTGGATCTGAACTTGGTGGGGGGTGTGAAGGGAGTGGGGAGGATGACTGAATGCAAAAGCCAACACAGCAAATGTGGCAATGCAAGCAAAGTCCATAATGGAGGGGTTTAAGGGGGTAGACCCACTGAAATCGCTGAGAGTCACGGAAAGCATTCGGACACAATGGAAGGCGTCAGAAAAGCTTGGCAGCACAATGCCGGACCAGAATAGCCTGCTTCCGGCCGGGCGCGGTCTGAAACCAAGGGGGATCATGATGGGCCTGGGGCCTGGGAGTCCCAGTGCACCCCGAGAGCTTTTTAAACATCATTGGATGGCCTGTGCCTAATGGGGTCACTGGCTCAGAATGGCTCTCTTTTCTCTCAGCCTGATAATGAGAAACTCTGCTTCACCTCTGCTCCACGTAAGCTTTGTGCTCGTATGTGAACACTGACTGTTACACTTAATTCTTTATCATACAGTACACTTTTCTGATCACAAATCCTAAAGTTTACTGGTTCATAAAGCAAGTGTAAGATGTTTTTTATTGCTCCTGTCAGCATTTTAACAGTCCAACAGTTACCAGTTAACAATTAACTGTCATATGTAGATACGTTCAAACATGCTGGACTGTGGACTGTAAAAGTATTTGGAGATATAAAAACCTATGGAAGACATGAAGGTCTTCTAACAAGCAATACATCTGGTCCCAGCTCATCCTCTCAGGGTTACTAAACCCACAATTAAAAAATTAAAAAAATCTATTCATGTGGTTTACAAAGGCAGATATTTAAGGGGTTTTACATGTTGTTTTTATATTTATATATCAGGTTTCAACCTTTAGAGTTACTCAATCTTTGGCACATAAGACAAAATATTCCATTTAAAAAAGCATTTAAAAGCAACATACTCCCCCTCACTTTAATCAACAGAACACATGGCAAATTGTTTTGTAGGGACTATTTCTTGGCAGAACGCCAGAAAGTATCAGCTCATACGGATATTTCTAGAATAACAAGCTTCTGCTTATTTACATTTACGTTTTGTTGGTTCATTAGTCAACTCTATCTGCCTTGCTAGTTATTACAGACTTCACAGGATTTGATTTGCATGATTTGATCATGTAAATAGAAAGTTATCTCCAGCTGGTCAGGCCCATTACATACCCTTTTTTTGCCTGCTGCCTTTGTAAACATTTGAACCATAAATACACACACACACACACGATTATTAAAAAACGTGGGTCTAAGGTAGAGATGTTTCTTCCATAAAAACTAAAACTTCAAAAGCATTTTGTACCAGGCTGTACATATGAAACAACACTGTTCAGACTAATATATAGGAACATCAAAATCACACAATAGTTAGTTACACTATAAGACACCCAAAGAGACGGTGCTTATGTGACAGGTGCACAGACAACAATTGAGTTTTTCCAGCATTAGAAATTACAGTCTAGTAAAAACTACACTGACACATTTTCTATTTAAAATCTTCTTTATAATTCTTTCCTTACATTTATAGGCTATTTGTAATTTTTTTTTTGGAAGTCAACAATTGGAGGAATTATATATGTAATTTCTAAACAATTAATTGAACTAAACAATTCTCTTAAATTAGATTATTTTTTCATTATAGATTATCAAAACAGGATTAAAGATAATCCAACCAGCGAATGCATTTGTCTTGTTACTGAATGTTGCTAATTCATAGTTTGATATTGTCGCTGTTTGTTATTCCTGAATTTGTTATTCAACATGAAAGTTTTTATGCTGTTGTCTCGAGCAGTAAGTCTTTGTCTAACGGGAAATAGTTATGGTAAAAGGTTAGATTAATAGGAGGAAAGACCGCGCCCTTACACAGTGGTAACCTTTAGCTGCTTGAATTCATGAGAACACTATTTATAAAAGGTGTTGCCTCTGTCTCTTCCTTTGAACAGGTTGTTCTGCCGTCACTCTGTCCTATAGAGAACATACACTGGAGCCAGCGCAAACACTAAGTGTTGATCCTCACTCCTCTGTCTGCTGCATCTAAAACAAGCACTGTGAAAGTAAACCACCCGACCCTACAAGCATGTTTCCAAAGTCACTTTATTTATAGAGTTGAAACACGGAGAGGGTGGGAGAGAAGGAAAAGCACACCATCACTTCATGAAACCAAGACTCACCGGTAAAAGAAAATATCTGTATGTGAAGCCTGAGAAACAGCTACAGTCTCTTTCCCCGTCTTCTTGCGATCTGTACAGGTGCTCTTCTTCTTTGAATGAAATCCTCCCTCAGCAGGTGATGGGGCAGGCATCGATCCCTCGTTAAACGGTCAAACCCTCTTGTCTTGTCGGTGACTGTGTGTTTCCCGATCTCTCCTCTGTCCACTGACTTTGTGAAGATGACTTGATAGTGTTGGTTGCCGAGGTTCTGTCTGTCTCTCCCCTCCCTCACTCTGAAGTTTTCAACTTTTAACCACGCCCAACAACGTATGACGAGGGCCTCGGCGGCCACGCTCCCAGGTCGCCTGGTCCTGCCATGCAGCAATACAGGTGGCCAATTATAAGCGACTTTAAATGAGCTAATTTTATTGTTTAACAGACTACAAGAAGACAAGAATTTGCCATAGTGATTCTACAGCCTTTTGTTTTTTACTCTGTTATAATGAGGATTGAAAGCTAAAGGTATGATAGTGGGCTAAAGCTGCTGTGCCTTTAGGTTATTTGTGAAATGAATCAGGATTTTTGACTCAATTATGATTTCATCCCTCTTGGATTGATCTGAAACTGATGAATCACATCATGACACAAATGACTTAATCAAACTGCATTCAGCCTCCTCAAAGATAAGGCTCACATTAGCCGGAAACTCAAATTGCTAAAATTAGCAGTTGTTGTTCAGCTAACCTGATCAAATAGCCTAAATTGTTTTTGACATGTCACAACATCCATCCAACATTTTGATCGAACCTTCATTTCAGGTGTTTATCAATCACAAAGTGGTGAAATGTTAAAATGATGAAACAAGAGCTTCACACCCAGTGAGTAGAATGAAAAACATCTGTTCTTTAATATGCAAGTTAGATTACTCATGTTTTTCTTCCTATAAAACTTTGAGGAACTACGAGTTAACATCTACTCAACTTAGCAAAACTTGTTTCAGAGGGGTTGCACATCAGTAGGCCAATAGGTTTAAAGTTACTTAGAAAACAGAAAACAGTTAGTTCAGATAAATAATGTAAAATCAGATGTACGTGTACAATGTTTATTGTGGGGTAACTCAGGGGTTGGTCCTAGGACCAAAACTGTTTATTTTGTACACTTGTGATTTTGTTAATGCATCCAAACTGCTCAAGTGTATTCTATTTGTGGATGATACCACCTAACTTTATTTTGAGAATAAAATAGCACAGGTGTTGGATGTGTATTATTATAAATAAATTATCATTGAATCTTGAAAAAACTAAGTTCTTAGGTCTCATGATGTAAATGTGAACTGGAAATGACACAAAAATATTGTAGGCAATTGCTATGCCTCTGCTCAAAAAGTAAAGGGTAATTAGATAATAAAGCATTGTACATCTCAATAAAACTCAATGATTATTCCATATCTGAACTGTGTTGAAGTATGGGGAAGTACTAAAACATACACTCATTCAATGTACATTTTACAAAAAAGAGCCATAAGACTCATCAGTAGTAGTCGAGAGATCAATCAAACCGTTATTCATTCAGGAATTAGTAGATTACAATATAGCCTAATGAAAATGATGTATGAAGCTCTCTCTGTGTGGTTAAGGTCTACCGTCTGCTAAGGTGGGGGTACAGAAAGCAAAAGGAAATGATCTCTTTTTCTTTGTGCTCTGTTAACAATATTGCAAATTGTTCTTTAAAAAAAAAAATTAAGTGTCTTTGCCATTTTAGATGGCAGCAAATCTATTCAATGCATCCTCAATTCCGCTGCTTGTCATGGAACATTAATATAACTGAAAGAGTTTGGAAATACACTTAACTCTTTCAAGTTGATGATCAGCAAAAATTCAAACTCACCTTTTTACAGTTGAAAGCTGTATGGGTACTGCCTTCTTTATCAGCATGGAGATCCTGCTGCCTAAAACCTTCCATTGAAACAGATGAGGACCAGCGTTTTGGATCCAAGAAAATAAGGAAAGTAAAACAGATTAATAAATGGGAAAAACTTGAACCAGAGGTGGGGGACTCAAGTCACATGACTTGACTCGAGTCAGACCTGAGTCGCAAAGTTGAGGACTTGAGACTTGCTTGACTGACAGTGATAAAAGACTTGACTTAACTCAAGGCTTGAACTAACTTACATGCCCAGTATGTCTCCTCAAATATCGTGCAACTTAGTACTATAGTTTACTACAGAACCAGGGATAAATCTATGTACTGGTACATGTATTCATGGTGCCTTGGTGACTCTGGGGATGTTGAAGACTGTGGAAATCTCCCAACGTTTCATCTGGCACTACTGTAAGGTTCAAATTTAAGTTTTAGTTTTTGTTTCTATGAAAACTCACAAACATTATTATATGGATGTAATAAAATATGATAAAGAGGTTCATTATGCCCAGGGAAAAGATCTCTATGGTCGAGTATACCTAGTCTTTTCCTTTTGTACTCTATATGTTCAAAGAAATATATCTCTGCATCTTCAAGACAGATCGGCACATCATTTGTTCCAAACTTTCATGGTCCTGAGGAATTCGCTAGTTCCTAACACAAGATACACAAGTAAACCTTTAGATGTATGACAATAGAAGCTATTGAAGAGGTCTGAGGCACTCAGAGGGGTATGCATAAAAATCCTTCAATACAGGCCTTCATCGGGGCAGGTGATTTGAAACATACATTCATATCCCCCTTTACATTTTGAACCATTCATTTATCAACAACATCAGGCCACGATTTCATTGACACACGTGGTGTTTTAAAAGCGCACACAAAACTAAACCTTCTTTTAAATGGCATTAAGAATTGCTTTATAAGAATTTATTTTTAGCCTTTTAATTCTAACGTTTACGATTAGACACATTTTCTAATAATTACGAGATCGTAATAATGAGAAAATGTGTCTAATTGTTTTTTTTTCTCTGGTGAATTCAATGCCCTTCCCTTAACTTTTTATCACTTGACAAGGGTTACTCTTTTCATCCAAATAGTGTGTTACACTGTTTCAGATACACATTTACTGAGGTAATTGGTTTGCTTCAAAGGTGGTATATGATGTTTCTCTCCTGTTTTATTCATATCATAGCAAATGGCCTGAAACAGTGAAACTTCATCTGATGCAGCTGCCCAGTATTACAGAGCATCGTAAAACGACGAGAAAAGTCTAGTGGTCTGAAGCTGCTTAATATTAAAATTATATGCCAATAAACTTCCCCCAAAGGCTGTGTTTTTGTCCTTTCATGGTCCAATACACTATACTATGAAAACTTGCAGCTTTACAGATAATGGATTAAAGACTTGCAGTGCTCCCCCTCAGAGTCGGATTGTTTTTGTTTTGATTTTTTTGGAGAGGCCTCTGCCTTTATTTTGATAGGACAATGGATTGAGTACAGGAAACTGGGAGAGAGATTGGGGGATGAATTGTGGAACAGGTAGCCTCCGTATTAGGGACGGGACCAATCATGTCCTTAATTATTCACCAATTTGAGCCTAATTCAATTGAACTCTTTTTTTTTTTTACTTAAATTTAACCTTCATACAACAGTAATTTTATATTAAAAAGTTGGGCACTTGCAGTTGGGAAACTCCAGTTTTGGGCACTTTCTCTTTGAGCCATAAAGGCTACCTCTTGAAAAGCCAAAATACTTTTGGGCACGATCCTTGTTTAGTTCATCAGCCAGCCATTTGTCCTTCAGCACTAAACATAAGGTATAGCTGTGGTTTACAAAAAATGACCAAGTGGATAGGCCACGTCCCATTAACGGAGGCTATAGTCCTCCAAACTGGCAGCTAAGTTCTAGTCCAACCTGTAGCTCCTTTCCCAAATGCCAAATGGGGTCCAAACCAAAGGTAGGAGAAAACCGTTTATCTGCTTTGTTTTTCTCTCTTCTCTCTTAGGGTGAGGTAGAGTAACAGCCTGATCCGGTGCTAGTCACTTCACTCTGGCTCTGCCTCCCCCAGCCTCTTTCTAAAATGTATCTTCTGGCTTTTCTGTCTTTCTATTTTCTCTTGTTTTCTCTTTGCCTGTCTTTTCATGTATAATGTTGGCACCAGGAATAGTCACATTTTCTTTGTAGGGGCCATGTGGTATGGTAGGTAGTAAAAGCTGCATAAACAGAGTCTGGACTCTGTTGAAGGTGGCATTGTTGTTTTGGTTGCGGTGGCAACTAAGGGCCATCAGGTAGATTGGATTGGAAAATCTCTGTCGTCCCCAAGGGGCAAATTGGTTTGCAACAGAAGTCCACACAAAACACATCATAAAAACATCACAAAGACATAAATACATAGATATGAACCATATCTCTCACAGATGTCATCATGATAGATGTGAGTAAGATATATGAGACACAAAGTAAGCAGTCCATAGTAGAATTGTAATAGCAACAATACCTACAGCTTATTTAAAAACCCAACTGCTGATGGGACAAATGACCCCAGATCTGTTTGATCTGGCCCTCCTAGCAGAAGTAAAAATCCAGTGGTGGCAGAAGTCTAAACTCTGAATAAAGAGGGTCTTTCAGGAAGGCCTCTGCATTCTGATTGCCTCTTACTTACTTTTTGCTATTTTTGCTAATAGTCACATTTTTGCTAATTCCTGTTTTTTGAGCTGATTGATCCTCCAATGTCCCCCATTGGAGGATGAATATTTCTACAATATTTCAGCAAAGTTTAACTATAGTTCCTAGCCTGTTTATGTTAACGACCCTGTGGTAACCAAACCAACAGATCATAACAAAAGTTCGAATTGAATCAGTTAAAGATGAATAAAATATTTTTTTAAGAGATTTGTCAACATTAAAAGTCCTCAGATTTGTCAAGAAGAAAAGCCTCTGATTTGCTTTTTTGCTTTCATCAAGTGTCTTAGCCAAATACCGACTCACTGTCTCTTCAGATATGCTTTTAAGAAAACTTGGTGCTGTGCAAGTGGGTTTCTGTGTAAGTCAATTATCATCTCTTGTTTAGAGACATTTTGAGATGCAAGAGTCATCGGTGATGTAGCTTGACAAGGGGGAAGTCAGTTCATCCAGGTCTATTCAAGAGCCTCAAATTAAAGACCTTCCAGTCAGTGCTGTGAAGACAGCCATGTAGTTCACATAAAGATCCTTCTGCTCACACAGCAACCCCTTTGAATTGAACTTTCCCTTTCTTGAGGGCTGGCTGCTAGACCAGCGGCAGAAAGATGTAGTTGTGGTTCAAAGAGCCCCGTGGTGCCGTTGTGTAGGATTTATACACCTTTAATGGTGCCAAAGCAC